CCATCACAACTTCTGCGATGCCTGCAAAGACACAGCCACCTGAACCCCAGGGGTTGTTCTGTGAAACAAGTGACCTCACCTATCCCAGAAAGCCAATATGGTGAAAGACTGGCTGAAGAACTTATTCAGGTGGAAGGACACCAAGAGATATGATAAGAAACTCTCCTCCCAGATGCAGGATGCATCCCCAGACCCCTGGGCTGCCAGTCTCAGCAGGGCAGGGTGATGCCGGACACTGGCCAGTCATTCAACAGTCACTCTTGGCTCTTCATACTGCTTCTTTTTCTTGAACACTCCTTCTCTTCTTCCTCTGTCTTTTCTTCTTCCAGCCTTCAAAAATCTTGGTATTTATAGATGAAGGATAAGCAAAATGTAGTACTCATGTACTGGGCAAAAACATTTCAATGATAGACCACATACACTACAGGCTGCACTGTGGCCTTGGTGTGCAGTAGGCTGTACCATTTAGATGTGTGTAGTTATACTCTATGATGTTCACACAATGATGAAATCACGTAGTGATGCATTTCTCAGACAGTGTCCCCATCATTAGGCTATGCATGACTGTATGCATTCATGGGAATATTATTTAGCCATAAAAGGGAGGGAAATCCTGACACAGACACCCATGTGAATGCACTTTAAAAACATCAGGCTGAGTGAAGGAATCCAGGAGACCCCCATGTGAATGAACTTTGAAAACATCAGGCTGAGTGAAAGAACCCAGGCCCAAAAGGCCACATAGTGTAGCATTCCATTGATATTCGGTGTCCAGAACAGACAAATACAAAGAGACAGAAAGCAGATTAATGGTTTCCGGGGGCTAGGGACTTAGGACTTCCTGTTAGAGGTGATAGAAGTTTCTTGGAACTTGATAGGGATGATTATTGCACAACTTTGTGAATACACTAAATGCTCCTGAATTGTACACTTAAAAATTATAGCTAAGGGGCCTCTCTGGTGGCACAAGGGGTTAAGTCTCAGCACTATTAAGCTATCTGCAGCCACTGCAGCATGAGTTCGATCTCTGGCCAGGGAACTGACCCACATGGCGCGGCAGACCTCTCCTGACCCACCTGCTGCCCCCCTCAGCAGTGTATTCCAGTAAATCACCTGTTCTGTTTCCCACTCTGTTTTCAGTAAGTCCTCTCTCCACCCCACCCTGTACCTCTGGCCTGTACCCTTGTATGCATAAAGAAATGAATCTTA